ATTTTTTCATATAGTTATTTATTTTTATTTTCTAAATGGATTTGGTTGTTGCCTGGTCTCACTACACAGCTCAGACTCATGGTGATCCTCCTGCTTTCAGCCTTCCCAGCGCTGGGATTACAGGTGTGCGCCACTATGCCCAGACTCTGGCAGGCTCAGCCCACCCTGGGCTGGGGCCTGGGGGCTGGGGGCTGGGGATCGAACCGTGGTCCCTGTGCTTGCCTAAGCAGGTGCTTTAGTCTGCTGAGCTATCTATCTCACTGGCCCTTTTCATATATTTATTTGCTGTTTGTATTTTCATCTGAAGAATGTCTCTTCATTTTAGATGCCCACTTTTGGATTAGGTCTTTAAATTTGGAGGTGGTCTGATTTTTTGAGTTCTTTATATATTGTAGATGTCAGTTCTTTTAGGTAAAAATTTTTCCCATTCTGTGGATTATTGCTTCTCTCTGTTGGTGGTTTCTCTTACTGTGCAAAAACTTTTTAATGTGATGTGATCCCAGTTGTTGATTCTTTGTAATGTTTCCTGTGTAATCATCATTTTGTTCATAAAGTCTTTGTCTATACTTATGTCTTCAAAAGTTTTACCTATTCTTTCTTTCAGCAGATTAAATGTTTCTGTTTTTATATTTATATATTTGATACATTTTAGTTTAGTGCATGGTGAGACACATGGGTCTAGTCTTAATCTTCTGCATGTGGAAAGCTAGTTTCCCAGCACCATTTCTTAAAGAGGCTATCTTTGTTCCAATGAAGGTGATTGGTCCCTTTGTCAAAGATAAGGTGGCTGTATATATTTGGAGTTGTTTCTACATCTGCTATTTCAATTCTCAGGTCTCTTTCTGTATCTCCCCCCGCCCCAGTGCCATGCTGTTTTTATCATGGTGGCTTTGTAATCTAACTTCAAATCAGAGATTATGATGCCCCCTGCCTTGCCCTTATTACCCAGAATTATTTTTGCTATTCTAGGGTTCCAGTGTTTCTAAGTGAATTTTAAGGTTGTGTTTTCTAGTTCTGTGATATGTGCTGTTGGTATCTTGACCAGGATTTCACTAAATCTGTCTAACAACTTTCAAAGTATGACTATTTTCACTATATAAGTTCTGCCTAAAAGCATGGGATATCTTTCCATTGTCTGATATTTTCTTTGATCTCCTTCTTTAGAATATTGTGATTTTCTTTTCTTGTTTTCTTTTTTTTAGAACCAGGGATTGAAAGCTATTGTGAATGTTTTCTTCTTTCTTTCTTTCTTTCTTTCTTTCTTTCTTTCTTTCTTTTTTTCTTTCTTTCTTTCTTTCTTTCTTTCTTTCTTTCTTTTGTATTTTAAGGAAGGATCTACAGGGGGTTCAGGGTCTCACTACTAGATCGGATTCATAGTGATCTGCCTGTTTACAGCCTCCCAAGAGCTGGGATTACAGGTGCACACCACCACACCCAATCTCAATTGCCGTCTCAGTGTGCCCTGGGGATGGGGCTGGCACAGCAGGCCTGGGGATCAAACTCCCGGACCCTGTGCCTGCTTGCAGGGGCTTTAATCTGCTGAGCTTTTTGGCTGGCCCTGAGTATTGTAATTTTCAACACATAGGTCTTTAACTTTCTATGTTAGAGTGATTCCTAAGTTTTCATTTTTTTTATGCTATCATAAAGCGTGAGATTTTCCTAATTTCTCTCTCAGTGAGTTTAATATTTGTGTACAGGAATGCTATTGATTTTTGAGGGTTAACTTTGTATCTACTGTGCTGCTGAATTTGGTTATTAATTCTAGGGGTCTTTTGGTGTCTTCTATATCAAGTATCATGACAACTGCAAATAATGACAGTTTCACTTTTTTCTTTCCTATCCTTATTCCTTTTTCTTTCTCTTATCTAATTGCTCTGGTTAATGTTTCCAGAACTATGTTGAACAAGAGTGGTCATAGAGGGTACTCTTGTCTTATTCATGATTTTAGAGTGAAGCTTTCAGTTTTTGTCCATTTAGTGTAATGTTAGCTGTTGGTTTGTTGTAGATGGCTCTTATCTGATTGAGATAAAAACCTTCTATGTCAATTTTCTGTAGAGTTTTATCAAATGATAACTTTGAATTTATCAAATGCTTTTTCTGCATCTGTTGAGATGATCATGCAGTTATTGTCCTTGACTCTATTAATATGGTGTATTACATTTATTGGTTTCCATTTGTTGACCAACACTTGCATCCCTGAGATGGTTGTGGTGTATAGTCTTCTTGATGATTTGGTGAAATCTGTTTGCCAGTATTTTATTGAGGACTTTTTCATCTATGTTCATTAAGGAAATTGGTCTATAGTTCTCTTTTTTGGTTGAATCCCTCTTTGGTTTTGGCATAAGGGTAATGCTTGTTTCCAGGAATGACTTTGGGAGTACTGCTTCCCTTTCAATTTCATTAAAGAGTTGGAGGAGTTATAGCATTAGATCTCTAAATTTCTTGTAGGATTCAGCAGTGAATCCATTAAGACTTGAGTTTTTCTTTTGTAGATTTTTTTTTCTTCGATTTCATTGACTGATCCTGGATGATTTAGAATATTTATATCTTCTTGATTTACCTTTGGTAATTCATATGTATATAGGAATCTGTCCATTACTTCTGAGTTTTTCATTTTATTAAGATACAGGTTCTCAAAGTAGGTTTTGTTGTTGTTGTTTAGTTTGTATTTTTTTAGGGAAGGGTCTGTAGGGTGTTCAGGGTCTTACTACTAGACTGGACTTGTAGTGATCCGCCTGTTTACAGCCTCCCAAGAGCTGGGATTACAGTCGTGTACCACCCAACTGGTCTCAATTGCCGTCTCAGGGTGCCCCAGAAGCAGGGCTGGCACGGCAGGCCCGAGGATCGAAACCCTGGCCCCTGCACCTGCTTGCAGGCACTTTAATCCACTGAGGTATTTGATTTGCCCTTCAAAGTAGGTATTGATTTACTAGCTTTCTTCAAGATCTGTTGTGATTTTGCCCTTTTTCGTTCCTAATTACATGGATTGATGTCTTTTCTCTCTTTTTTTTTTCATAAAGTTGGCTAAGAGTCTGCTATTTTGTTTAATCTTTCAAAGAACCAACTCTAATTCATTGATTCTTTATTGTTTTCTTAGTCTCGATTGCATTAATTTCTGCTCTGACATTTACAAATTCCTCCCTGGTACATGATTTAGGTTTCCCTTACTCTTCTTTTTCTACAATATTGAGGTTCAACATTAGATTAGCTATTTGAGCTTGCTCTGTTTTTCTATTGTTGGAATTCACTGCTATAAATTTCCCTCATGGAACTCCTTTCATTACATCCCATAAATCTGATATGTTGTATTGACTCACTGTCTTTTGAATTAAAATAATTTTGATTTGATTTGATGTAGGCTAGAAAAATCCATTGTTTAAAATTAGTACCCTTATAACCTATCAAATAAATTTTATTTAGCTAAATCTAAATCAATAACATTGCCCTTTTTCCAAATAATACAAAGATTTAATCATGTTTTCATTCTGATTTCTCCTCCTACTTCCTTGTTGTTATTATTCAGGATTTTAATTTTTTGCTTATTTTTGATCCACCAAATCCAGTGTGCTAACATTTGCTTACTTGGCAATTATTAAGTTGCAAATCAGAATTCAGATTTTTTGAAATTTTACTGATCCTTGAAATCCCAAACTAAGGGCTGGGGAGATAGCTCAGTGGCATAAGCACCTGCCTGGCAAGCATAAGGTCCTGAGTTTGATCCCCAATACCCTTTGTGTACCCCTCCCCATGTGAGTATGCAGGTCACTGTTGCGTTGTGAAATGCCTGGCCATAATGTGGTATTCCTGCCTCCTCTCTCTCCAGTCTGGCTTTCTCACTGTCTGCTTTTCAGTAAAGGTAAACAGTTATATCCCACTAACCTCATTATGGCTATGGAACCATCAAGGACACAGCAAGAAAGAAAGAAAGAAAGAAAGAAAGAAAGAAAGAAAGAAAGAAAGAAGGGAGGGAGGGAGG